CGCCGCCGCCGGGACTGCTGTCTCTACCTTTATTTTGAAACCTAGCGCCGGCACCCAGGGCCGCGGGATCGCGCTGGTGCAGTACCCGCAGCAGCTGGCGGAGGCGGGGGACGTGGGCAACTGCGTGGCGCAGTCGTACGTGACGTCGCCGCTGCTGTTGGAGGGATTCAAATTTGATTTGAGAGTGTACGCGCTGGTCATGTCTGTAGATCCGCTCCGGATCCATCTGTACGACGAAGGCCTTGCGCGCCTGGCTACGGAGCCGTACATGCCACCCAGCTCGTCCAACTTGCGTACGACAACCATGCACCTGACGAATTATGCGGTCAACAAGGCCGCGGCGGGTTTTGTGTCGGCGGATGCGGCGCCGGCTGGTGGTGGCAGCAAGCGGCCCATGTCTGCCGTACTGGCGCAGCTGGCGGCGCAGTACGGCACCACACAGGAGGCCCTTCAGAGCTCGATAGGTGAGCGGAGGGATGAGGGCACAGGTCGGTTTGGGGGGGTGGAGAATTCTAAGACCTTACGGTAAAGTGGGGGAAGGAGGGAATTGCTGATGTGATGAGGGTTTTAGGGTTTTAAGGTTTTAGGGTTTTAGGGTTCTGCCAGCCGAAAGCTCTAGAGCTCTTGGAGTTTGTGCTACTGCTACTGCTGCTTAGTGTGGCGTGATGGTGGTGCTACTGCTACTGCTACCGCTTTCCAGCCGACCCCCTCTCTTTTTCCCCCCATTTTCCTGCCCCCCTCCAACATACATGCATGCATACATACATACATACACACACGCAGCCGACGTTGTCAACAAGACCGTGATGGCCATTCAGCCCCTGCTGGCGCACACGTACCACACCTCACTCTCCGCCACCACCGCCGCCGCCGCCGCCTACCCCCTCTCCTGCTCCTGCCCCACCCTCGACCACATCAGCGCCTCCGCCGCCGACCCCACCGCGCCGTGCGGGTGCCCCCCATCGCTGTGTTTTGAAGTTCTGGGGTTTGACATTTTGTTCGACACGCAGCTACAGCCCTGGTTGTTGGAGGTGAACCACTCGCCGTCGTTTGCGAGCGACTCCAGGTAGGGACAGGCGGTGCAGGGGGAAGGGAGGGTTTTGGGTTTTGGGGTTTCGGGGGTTTGGGGGGAAGGGGGGAATAGGTCAAGGAGAGGGGTTATGGAGGCGATGTAATTGTGCACTCAGCCGACAACGCTATTCCCCCTTTCCCCCCAACTCCCCCCCCCCGGACACATACAAATACAAATACACACAAAACACACACACCCTCCTTCCCGCCCGCCCTATCACACATTCACTCATTCAACCTCCTCTTTTAATTGACCGCCAAAACCCTTCCCCTTTTTTTAAAAAAAAACTTTCGCCCCCTCCTCCCCCCCTCCTTCCCCCCAACCACCACACACACACACTCTACAGACTCGATCGAGCAGTGAAGGGTGAGATGCTGGCACGCACGCTAGAAATGTTGGGGCAGCAGCCCAACGCAAGACGGCTCTTCCTCGAGGTGGATTGTGGGTGGGGGGAGGGGAGGGGTAAGGGGGGTAAGGGAGGGGAACGGCGCATACGTGTGTGTTTTTCTGTGGGCACGAGGTAAGTACACGGATGTTCTCGGAGCACTCGTACTAACTGCGACGTCGTTGCTGTACGACATCGCAGGCGGAGGCACGAGCTCAGAACGAGCGGTTGTACAGCTCGCCGTCGGGTGCCGTACCCTCTTCCGCCGCCGCCGCCGCCGCCGCCAGCAGCGGCGGCGGTGGAGGCAGCGGAAGCTCGTCGTACACTCGTCGGGCTCAGAGCGCTCTTCCTCGCAGTCGGCACCTTCAGGTGAGCTGTGGGTTTCGGAGCTGAGTGGGGGCCCTGGGGGGGTTCCACCTCCCCCCCCCGTCCCCCTAACCCCTCGGGCCGCTTGCCACCGCCATAGCTGATTAGGGCAGGTGGGCCTTACTGTAGCAACTACCACAACAATCACCGCAACTACCACAACAATCACCGCAACTACCACAACAATCACCGCAACTACCACAACCACCCTCAGGCCGCAGCGGCCGCTATGGAGGAGATTTCGGCCAACTCGGCGGCGCTGTTGGCGGCGGGCGGACATGTCTGGGGTAGCGGCAGTAGCGCCACAAGCAGCGGCGGCGGCAGTGGCTCCCCTTCCCGCAACGGATGCTACAGCCGCCCGGCGTCGAGCAGCGCCGCTGCAAGAGCCTCCTCGCCGCGCAACCGCCAAACGCCCCAGTCGGCGACGTCGCAGTACGGCAGCGGCGGCGGAGCTGTCGGGACCAAGCGGTCCTTTAGCTTTACCAGCGGCGGCGGCGGCGGCGGCGGCAGTCTGGGCATTTCTGGCGCCTTCAAGCTTGTCTTCCCGGCGTCGTCCGAAACGGATCGGAAGCGCTACGCACGGATCCTACAGGTCTGTCTGTCTGTCTGTCTGTCTGTACACGCATCCGTTTGCATCTCTGTGTCCCTCTCCCTGTCCGCCACACCGTTGTGCCCAACACATACAGATATACACACATATATTACATATGTGTTATACATACATACATATGTATACATAGATATAGACATATATACACACCTACGCACCTCCCACCCCACCCCAACCCTCACCCAGGCCGCCGCCGACCTATACACACAGCAGCGCTGTCAGTGTTCTTGGTGCCTCCGACGTCGCCAGATCTCCTTGCTAGCAACGTCATCGCAGCAGCTGTCATTGGCGGCACGTCCTCCCTCCGCCGCCGCCGCCGGAGCCGCCGGGGTCTTGAGCCACTGCTACAGCCAGGGTTTGTCCGGGCACCTGCCGTCACGGCCCGGGTCCTTCAGCGCGCAGCAGCGCCGCCGCAGCGGCATGTCGTACCGTGGCGCTGGCGGCGGCGGCGGCGGCGGCTCCGCCGCCGCCATTGCGCCGGGAGAGGATGCAGGCAGCGACACCGACTGCTCGGCAACTGACAACCACAACCACAACCACCATAACAACTGCCTTGGCAACAACTCTAACGGTGGGGGAGCTACAGCTGCGGTGCGGGGATCGCCGGGAGCTGGTCTGTCATCGTCGTACGACACCCCTAAGGGCAAGCCGCCCAGGTAACATATTTGGTTGTACTGCGTACGGCATATCGGGAAAATGTTTTGCACCATGCCTAGCTCATCCGAACAAGACTGGACCGTCGGTATTTCTTGTACGACTAAATTGTCGTGCCTTCTTCTCTTTCCCTGGGGCCAAACCCTTTCCCCCGGGGGCCAAACCCCCACCACGCGGACATACATACCGGCATATATACCTGTGTGTGTGCGCGTGTGTGTTTTAATGGATTGGAAAAACCGGCGTGTCTGTGTTTCAGAGTGACCTCCCGGTCTTTCAACGCACCGCCAAGATTGACCAAGTCTCGCCCTTCATGTGTCGGGATGTATGTCTGTATGTGTATGTCTGTATGTTTCGGGATTGGTGGTGTGTATTTCGAGATTGCCCTCATCGCCCTCCCGCCTCCGTCATGGCATGTTGATTTTTGTTTTAAAGCATTTAATGATTTCGTTTCGATCTGCACCTCGGCCCCCAAGCAGTGCTGCTGTGTATTTTACCCTGTACGACAGGCCCAGCAGTGAGCTCAGGCCTGCCTGGAGGTCGCGCAGCGGTACAGAGCGGCAAATGTCTGGCGGCGGCGGTGGCGGCGGCGGTGGCGGGGGGGGAGCCTTGACGGCGGCGGCGGCGGCGGCAGCGGCGTCGCCAGGTAGCGCGTCGGGCTCCCAACCGCCGCCCCATTACTCCAACCATCAAAACCACCCCCACGTGCCGCCCTTCCCAGCGCCGCCGACAATGGCATCCGTGCTGGCGGGCGGGAGTGGATACGGCAGCGGGTACGGCGGCGGGAACGCTGCGCGTACGGTACTGCAGCAGCGGCGCGCCGCGTCGGCGATTGCGTCCGGCAGTTCGTCTGTCCCGATGTCTGGATCCGGCGGCGGCTCGGCGGCTGCTGTCGCAGTGTTGCGGGGTTTGTCGAGCGAGCCAAGCGTGGAGAGTACGACAGGCGAGGCGTTGTACGCGAGAGCCACCTCAGACGATTGCAACGAACAGCAACCGCAAGGCGTACATCACCACTACAACCACCAAACGCACTTTCCGGACACGTACGGAAATGTACAACATCACTCGGGGGCTGATGACCCACGGGTCACAGGCGGGTTTACGGCGCCCGGCTCACCAGGACTGCCGGCGACGACGGCAGCAGCTGGTACTTGTACGACAGACGCGGCGGCGACGGCAACGTCGCACAGCCACAGCCGGAGCAACCTGATGGTGAATCACGCGCTACGGCCTCTGTCTCACAGCAAATCGCACCCCCCGTCACACGCATCGCTCACAGCGGCGGCGGCGCCCCACAACCAACATCACCTTTTTCAGCAGCAGCAGCAGCAGCAGCCACAAGGCCAGGACCACGGGGCGCAACCAGTTATAGCGGCGTCGGGGAGATGGCCGTCCCGCAACGCTGGCGGCGGCAGCGGCGGCGGAGTCAGGGGTAGTGTCGCTAGCGATGCCGCGTTGGACGGCGACGGCGGCGGCGGCGGTCACCGTACCCGTACCTTGCAGCAGCATCGGCAGTACGACGTGAATTACGGGACGCGGATGGGAACGTCGCCGTCTCGCGGCGGTGCCGCCAAGGGCAGGGTGGCGGCAGCGGCGGCAGCGGCGGCGGCGGCGGCGGGACGCAGCGGCGCAGCCGTCAGCCGCCGCGGCGGCAGCGCGGAATGTCCTCGTGCTTCAACTGACGAGGATGGTGACGGCGGCGACGAGGGCGGCGAGGTCTCTGGCACCCTGCGGCGATCGTACAGTTGCGGAGAGATCGGCGTCAACAAGCCTGGCCGTGGCGCTAAGACTTCGCACGCGCCAGCGGCGCCGACAGCGGCTGCCCTCGCAGCGCGGCCTTGGTTGGCAGCACCAGGGGGCGGCGGCGGCGCCGCCGCCGCCGCCGCCACCACCGCCGCCGGTGCGCCAGCGCAGTTCCTGAGCCACAGCTACGGCGTGCTGACTCCTTCATCAGGCCGCCAAACGTACGGTAGTGGCGGAGGCGCCAGCGAGTCAAGTCAGGACTTGCCGTACGGTAACGCTTTGTACTCATCCGCCGACGGTCCAGCGGCGAAAAGAACCGCTGCTGCTGCCGGCGGCGGCGGCGGTGGTACGACAGGGTCGCGGATGCGGCGGTTTAGTAGCTCCCGCCGCCACGGCAGCACGTCCGGAGCGCCCATGAGCCCCGCGGATCTGGAACTATTGCTCGTACGCGCCAAAACCTCCAGTGCTTTGAACAACCGTTTCGTGTCGGTGTACCTGCAAGGTGGCAACGGCGGCGGCAGCGGCGCAAGGCCCACCGGGCTGCGGTCTCCTCATTGAGCTTTTCTTTCAGTAGGGCTACTAAGTGCCGTACATCTAACGGCGATGCCACGTGTCCGTGCTGTATATCACGCGGGGCCTCAGGACATACAGACATACAGACGGGTGTGTCCCTCTGCGATGTTTAGTTCCTTTCCGAGTCACCAATCCGTCAGCGCTATTAGGAACGTATCATCACCATCAATGGGGCCGGCTCAAAGCACACACCTACCTACCTGCCTACCTACCTGCCTACATACATACATACATACATACATTATAGCATGCACACATCCTCCCACGCCGTTTCCTTCCCGCTGCACATACTGGTGATACGGTGGTGTAGCGGTTGTAGCGGTTGTAGCTGTGGACGCAGTTTTGCTGACCCCATAAGGGTGTGAGTGTGGGAGGCAGTGGCAGATCACGTCTCTCTCAAGTGCTCATGTATGTATGTATGTATGTATGTATGTATGTATGTATGTATGTCCATTACAATTGGCAAAATGCCAAAATGGCAGAGAAATGCCGCACATTACCACCAGGCATACAACAGGCGGCAGAGCACCATATGTGGGTATATAGTAAAAAAGCACGTCCGCGCTCGCGCGTTTTTCTGCGTGTTTTTATCAGCACCATCATCAGCATCATCATTGCATCAACATCATCATTATATCATCACCATCCTTGTTCATGCGATTTGGCGCCCTAGCGATCCAAACTCCCCTTCCCCCAATAGCATCATCAGCATCATCATGATCAGCCATCATGTATCGGCGAGGTCGGCTTCCTTGATGGCCGTGAGGTGCATCAAAGCATCAGATGCCTCCGCTTTAGATGTCCTGGTTTAGGTGGTGTGGCTCGTCGCGGTGTGACGGCACGCGCACCGAGAGGTGTGTCTGTGTGTCTGTGTGTCTGTCTGTCTGTCTGTCTGTGCCTCACATCGTATTCGCGCTTCCGGCTTCCGAACAAGTACGAACAAACAAACAAGCAATTAAACAGTTTAAAACAGATTAAAACAGTTTAGAACCCGTTTATAAAAATGTATGGAACCCCTCCCTTTTCTACCACCAAAATGCAACCACCAAATGTTTCGAGTTTATACTCAGCAGACACTATTTGAACGGTATTTTTGCTGCTTTCCGCCTTCCCTTCAGAAAAAACACCTCCCAGACCTATCAGACGGGAAGTTCCCTGTCTTGGGGTTCCTTCCGGCGCGGGTCGGTTACTCG